ACCACGTCATCTGCGAGGTCCCGCAGGATCGGTCCTAGGACCGAGCCCTGCTGAGCCATTTTTCCCTCCGCATACTGGACCGGTCTGTGTAGTCAACCCACCTGTCCGACAGTAGGCCCTAACCACCCTTCTCAAGTAGGGTAGTGGCAATAGTCCTACGATATCTATGGCTAATTTTTCGAATGGTTCGTTGGCTATGGTTGTAATTTCCATTGATTATTTGGTCGGTTTCAAGTTAGTCTTATTAATTTGACAAGAGTGACAGAATTCTGTATATTTTTGAATATCTAATTTGATGATGGACTAATAGCATCGTTCCTTTATTCGCTCGTATGTTTTGCTAAAGCCGTGTAATGTCTTGACTATTTGTCATCGTAATGTTCTTTTAGAATTTGTTGTATTTCTTCTTGTGTTTTTAGAGTTATTCTAGAAAGGTTGAACAATTTTATTTTGTTATTTGGAAATATAAACTTTAACATTTTGTTTAGTCTATCAAATTTTATGTTATCGCGTTTTCTCGGTGGGACTAATATAAATTTCTTATCGTTAAGATGGAGTTTTAGTTTTTTGAAACAATCGACAAAATTTTTATATGCTAATTTATCGAAATGATGGTTCAATGGATACAATAAATTTATCCTTTGCTTTCGATTATCAAGTTTCTTTAATCCGTTTAGTTCTGGCTTAAAATTAGTGATATCAAAATTTGAGTGTATACAATTCGAATATGAGTTTTCTTCGTCTAAATCCTGAGACCACAATAAGACAACGGCATCGCAAATTTTCGTTCTGAGTCCATTTTCTGTGTCGTAAGATATTAATTCTTGATTAGTATAATGGAATTTGATAAAATCTTGGTAGTTTAGATCTTGCTTGTTCGTTATATTGATTGAGTTTCCTATAAGGAGTCTAGAGAGACTATCCGCATTTGAATGAATGGGGCCTGATTTGTATTTTACAGTATATTCGTACTCTTTTAGTCTAAGTCTCCAACGGACTAATTAGGAGGATGCCTTTTTACAATTAAAGAGCCATTAGAGTGGTCGGTGATCTGTGTGAATTATGAACGGTCTACCGTGTTACGTACGCAGACTAGCCGACACAGTGGCGCCGAGCCTTCCGGCTAACGTTAATGCTACAGACTTTTGAGATAGGATAAACGAACGCAACCCGGTAATCCTAGGAAAATATGTATATGTATACAGGGTGTCCCGTAAAGAGTGTAACTCCCGGAAATGGGGTGTTGCTGTGGTGACTCTGATCACATTTTTCCTCGACCAAAATGTTATTTGAAGTTTCGTTTTTGAATTATTAACGAAAAACACTGGCCAATTACAGCGCCCGTAAGCCCGCGCTCAGGGACGAACGAAGAAAGATTCACCCGCGCGCTATCGCGAACGACGCGTACGCGTGACTTCTCGGTTATCGATCGCTGTCAAAAAAATTTGACTTTGCACTGCTGTTTTTATAAGGCTTAGAAAAATGATTTTTTGTCATCATTCCGACGTTTGCATAAATTTTTGAAAAAACTGCAATTAGTCGGAATCGCGAAGAAAATAGCGAAGGTCGTTTTTACAACTTTTTTATCTGAGCTTGTAATGAAAATCTAAAAAATACGTTTTGTAGATCTATGTCAATTATACACAGGCTGAAAATTTCATCGCCGTCCCTGAGCGCGGGCTCTACGGGCGCTGTGATTGGCCAGTATTTTTCGTTAATAATTCAAAAACGAAGCTTCAAACAACATTTTGGTCAAGGAAAAATGTGATCAGAGTCACCCCAGCAACCCCCCATTTCCGGGAGTTACACTCTTTACGGGACACTCTGTATACAATATATTACAAGCTTTTTAACTGATTTCTTGTTTATTTCATTATACAAATACAGAAAAAATTCATAAAGATACTTATGATTTTCGAGCGTCAGGGTGGGCTAATACGAGCACTATACTTTAATTGTTTGTGGTGGACACTAGTCTCCCAATAGGGACATTTAGTCTCCGCGAGATGTCGCTGCTTAAGTTACCCTTGTAGCGGAATTACAGAGGTTCCCAGAATAAGGACGCCCACGTGTTTCACCACTAATATATTTTTTACTGTCCACAGTTTGAATTACAATGAGAGAGAACCGGAAAGGATTCGCCTGTACCTTAACTAAACTTAATCTAGATACGCGACTACAGACTATATCCTATAGCTGGTACCAACTTAACAAAATATAAATCTAATACTTAACCTAGTAACATTATTGCAATGGAAGAGTGTCCCTAGTTAGTAATGGCTAGAACTGCTACTTTTGAATCACGAGTGATTTGATCACGTACGTTCCCAATCACGGTGATTTTTCACAGTGATTAGTGATTTCTCGTGATCGTTTCTGATTGGTGGAGAGGTTAAGTGTCTTTCATGTCGACATAACCTATATACTTTATATTAATGCACCAAAATTTATATCGCATAAGAGAAAGGATTAATGAAGAATAATGAATAAATAAATGATTGTAAATTACAGGCGTAAGTTGAATCTTTAATACTTTTTTACTTAATTCTAATGATTTAATGCCTTAATAAATTCTTTGAATCCAATGTCTTCTACTATTCTGAATGGTTGCAGATCTTTTATAAACTTTACGGTTTATTGTTGACATTTTTTCTGGTAAAAATGTCGTTATTTGTAGTTGATTTGATGTTAATAAATTTACAGCTGGCCCTGGACTATCTTGTGGTACTGATACAATGTGGTGGTGATACAATGTTGCTTAGTTCAAGTTGAGTCTGGCTCTAATTATAAATTGTGATGGCTGTAACTGAAAGAAAATAAACAAAAAATAATTCAGCTTTGGAAAAAACTTTTTCACAAGGCACTGAAGTCGTCCTTGTGTTGAATAACTTTTCTACTAATTTTTTTAATAAGGGGAATTGAAATTGATGATCCTTTCACCAGATCAGCAGATCTCCAGTTTTTATATACAATTTTTCTTTTAAATAATACTCTATTTCTATTAACACTTTATTTTCTTCATTTTCCTCTTCTAGGCTATATTTTTCAACATTTTCGTCTAGAGCATCCTATATAGATAATTCTTCGTTGCTTTTTTCATTTCCTATCTGATACTACACATTTGGATTTATACTGCTATTTCTATTTTCCACCAACATACTTATAATTACGGCTTTTAAATTTGTAATTGTTCGGTAGAGGAAAAACATTTTTAAATCTAGGATCTAAAAATGTGTAAACCTGTATTATGGTATGATTTTCTATATTTTTAAATCTATTTTCTATACCATCTTCAATACTATGTATTATTTATTGTGCATCTGCAGAAAAATCTTTTTGTTTTAGTTTGACACATATATTTTTCAAACTGGAAATTATGGGAATAATGATTGATGAACTGGGGTATTTTTCTCCACTGATAACGTCTGTTGTTGACTTATTAGGTTTCAAAATGACTGCCATTTCATGCAGTATTTCCCATTCTATGTTTAAAATGTTAGCTAAGTTTTTATTATTTAAAATTGCAATCGTGGCTTTAATTGG